GAGAAAGGTAAGTATATATACAATTGTGTTACTTTGGATTTTCGATATTTTTTTTACTATTTTTGGTCAGCCACAATATAGATTCTTAATAAAGTCATTGCTCTCGCTCATCATATTTCATCAGTTTTAAATAGAAAACTTTTTTTCTAACTTCAGGTTCTGCTCAGATTCCAACTTCTGAACATCTTTCTGAGTAAGTTTAATTTTTATTCATTGTATTTTGCTTTGATGGATTTTAGCACTATTGCATTTTTAAATGTATCTTTAATAGAAATGAAAAATATTAAAGTATTTTGTGTTTTTTTTGTTCTTTTAAAGCTGCTTGTTGAAATAGGTTCCTGCTCTATGGAGCTCGTGACCTGGTGCAAGACAAGTTGGAATTTCCTAAGTTCAAAGTTCTGAGATGTTTTCTTACACAAAGGCAGTTAAGCAGCCAAGTTCATGACACTAGTTCTCATTATTCAGCTTTTTTCAGCTTCAAATGAGACTAGGTTCTTTATTCCACCTTATTTTTGTGTCAGGTTGACATATCTTAACATATGTTGTTTTCTCCAGTTGGCTCTTTCCAAAATAACTTTTGTTGCTATAGTCATTTCTTACTTTGCTTAAAATAATTTGTGTTTTTCTCTGTTGTACTTGCCTTCAGAATAATACATTTCAAATGATACGGCTGTTTGTCTTTTTGTCTATTTTGTCTGCTTTCTTAATTTCTTATAGACCTTAAGTGTTTAGGCCCGATGATTGTCTTTTTCTTCTTTCGTTGTCTGTCATTGTGCTATTTTTCTTATTTTTCAGATGCAGAAGCAGCCCAGAGATTTCAAAAAATATCCAGGGTACACCTGGACAGTGTCCCCCTTCGATGGACACAACTGGTGCCTATTCTCTCTTTCCAAGGAATGTGAATAATTTTACAGTGGGACCTGCTCTAGGTTGTGGTCTCAAGAAATCAGGTCTTGGGGAGTCTTCCTTACTTCAAGACTGGCCTCCCATAAGGTTGATGCTAATTTACCCAGAGATGGCCTCAAAGCCCACCAAATTGAGCACAAATTTCCACTGGGTTCTTTGGCTCTTGATCTTAAGCTGGTGGGTCACTTCTGGCCAAGAAAAGCCCATCAAATCAATACTTCAGTCCAAGTTGAAGTTTTGTCATTTTGACTGCTGCCCTTTAATCTTCCTCTTGCATGAACGCAGTCCAAGGAATATAAAAGCTTTTGTTGTTAGGAAGCCATAGTTATTTTCATGTCCTTGGAACAACAGGTCTCTACAATTATGTTCCAAAATTGCAGTTATTTTTATTGTCATTTAAAATATATTACCCAGTTCTAGCTCTATAGTTTTCAACAATACTAATTCCCAGCCTTCTTATTTTGAATAAGTTAATTTTAATTGTTTGTTTTATGTTTTCCAAATTTACTGATATTATGTTTATTTTTATACTCTTTACTATTCTTTAAAACTGTTTAGTGTTTGCTCTGTTTTGCCAACACTTCCAAGAGATTCCCTCTAATTCTCTACAGATTCTTTATGGCTGCCTTACTTAGAGCTTTTTAATTTGGCTGTTATTTATACCATTAGATGTTATTATATCCTCTCTTATTTTGGGATTATTATTGTTATCTTAATAATTATGGGTTCTAAGCTGTAAAGAATTAACAAAACCTTTTGTAGATATTAAAACAAGTTTTAAAGTTACATATTTGTCTGGCTAACACATAGTATCTAATTAACCATTAATGAAGGTTTTGGGGGTAAAAGTAACATTAAAAAATATAGGGGTGCCCCAGCAGGTTAGCTCAGTTAGTTGGAGTGTCTTCCTATACACCAAAAAAGGCTGTGGGTTTGACTCTCGATCAGAGCACATACTTAGGTTGCGGGTTCGATCCCCAGTTTTTTTGTGAGACAAGTCAATGTTTCCCTTTCACATAGGTATCTCCACCCCTTCCCCCGCCCCCCATCATGCTCTCTCCCCACTCCCTCCCTTTTTCCCTCCTTCTCTTCCTTTCTCTCTAAAATCAATAAACATATCCTCAGGTAAGGATGTAAAAAAATAGGAAAAATATATGGGGGATAACAATGCACTTGTTTTTTTCATGTATATATTTTTTCACATATACATGTATATTAAAAAATTGACATTTGTTTATTTTAAAGACAAGCATGTCACCTTTTGTGATCTTAGTTGCCAAAGGATAGGCAGACTCTAAAAGTATGACTGAACTGTGGTTTTTTACTCTAAAATGAGAACTATTTTCTTTGAAACAGATTAAAGCCAGTTTCAATGATTATTTACAATGTAATGTGTTCCTTGCAATTAATAATAAAAATTTAATCCATTAGTTTTAAACTTCCAAATTAATTTCTATATTAATGATTGTCCAAAAGCTCTGAAAGTGGTTTATAGATGGACTTGGTGATATACTAGTTTTTATTTCCTTATCTGTCTCTAGGAAAGTTTTATCATTCACCTTTCTATGTAATTAAAAAAAAAACACTTCATAATTTTGCCCAGAAACAACATCTTTCCGTTGTTAACATAAATTCCTTTTTCATTTACAGATATTTGTTCTGCCTTGGTTATAGTTTAAAAATCAGATAAAATACATTCTTGATATAACAGTAAAGGAGCACTGCTTTTTGTTCTTCCATTGGACTTTATTTTATTTTCTCGTTTAAATTCTTCAAGTTCTGTCATCTATAAATTTAAAAAAAAAAGAGGTTCAAATAAAACACTTAAGGTGCTAAGTACCAAATTTGCTTATCTTAGACAGTTGAATTTAATTTGGTGCTAACGAGTTTTAGCTTGAGTCTGATCAAGTTATTCTAAATAGTTTATTCACCTGATCAGAAATTACCATTCCATGCATGTGTGCTTTTGATTACCACTGAATAAAAATTGAGATTGGGACATTTTGAATCTATCAGCACTCTTAGAAAAAGTGGCTCCTAAACTACAGAGATACGGATTCTTGCCCTATTTTGTCACATTTTGGTAAAACACCTCATCTCTTTTGGACCTCATTTACTTATTCCGTGAATATTTCTTGAGCATCTACTTTGTGCCTGGCCCTGTTATAGGTGTTAAAGAAATGGACTGAAATCTCTGCCTCATGAAGCTTATGATTTAATGGTGAAAGATAATAAAAATTAAAAGATATACTATATTAAATGGTGGTCAATACTATGGAGAAAACTGAAGATAGGGAAGGGGGGATAAGGAGTAAGTGGCAGTTTGTAGGCTGCCATTTAAAATTCGATGGTCAGGGAAGGCCTCACTGAGAGACGATATTTAGGTAGAGACCTGGAGGAACTGCGAAGAGCCTGTTTTGGCTGCCGTTGATTGAACAAGAGGGAGGCTAGTAGGAGATGGGGCCTGCAAAGTAGTGTGGGCCATGTTGTATAGGACCTTACCAACCATTGTAAGGCATTTGATTTTAACTCTGAGATAAGCCATCAGAGGATTTTGAGTAGAGCAGTGTTTTATACCTCAGTAAAACTCATAATCAACAATAAAACCTTAAATACAGAAGAGTGCTCTATTACTTTAGCTGCCCTCTTGAGAATTAACTATAGAAGTCCATCGGCAGAATCAGAGAGATTAGTTAGGGTGCCTGTTGTAATAATCTAGGAAGGAGATGGTAGGATCCTAGGCTAAGCTGCCTGCAATGTAGGCCATCCGCGGTTTGATTTTGGATATATTTTGAATTTGTTGATTTGGATGTGAAGTGTGAGAGAAAGTGTTGAAAATTATTCCACACTTCCTGGTCTGGGCAACTGGAAAGATGGCATTGATATTATATAAAGTAGAAAAGGCTTGGAGAAATAGACTCAGGAGGGAAGTTCCATGAGGATTGATCTGCTACATGTTTTAGTTTGAGATAACTATTAGAAATCAAGTGGAGCCAAAACCGGTTTGGCTCAGTGGATAGAGCATCGGCCTGCGGACTGAAAGGGCCCAGTTTCGATTCCGGTCAAGGGCATGTACCTGGGTTGCGGGCACATCTCCAGTGGGAGATGTGCAGGAGGCAGCTGGTCGATGTTTCTCTCTCATCGATGTTTCTGCCTCTCTATCTCTCTCCTTTCCTCTCTGTAAAAAAACAATAAAATATATTTTAAAAAAAAAAGAAATCAAGTGGAAATGCCATTAACCTGTATAAGTTTAGAGGAGTGTTCTAGGTGGTAATTATCATTTAGCATTTTAAAGTGTCATGGGAATGAATACAAGGAGAACTGAAATGTGAGTAAGATCAGTGTATTGAATCACTGTCAATATCCTGGTTATGATATTGTACTATAATTTTGTAGGATGTCATCATTGAGGAAAAGTGCACAAAGGGTACATGGAATCTCTATATTATTATTATAGCTGCATATGCATATACAATTGTCCCAAAATAAAATAAATTCAATTTAAAAGGCCATGGGACTATATGAGGTCACCAAGGGGTACAGTAGAGATAGAGAGAGGGCAAGGTCCACAGACTGAGCCAGGGGCCATCATATCCGAAACAACTGAATAGATGACCGAACAGACTGAGTGGGGTGATAAGGTCAGCAGGGGGGATTAGTGAGGGACAATCAAACGACTGAACAGCAGGCTGTGTGGGGCGACCAGGCCAGCAGAGGTGCCATTTGGGGTGACATGCTGGTGGGGGCAGGCAGTTGGGGGTGACAAGGCTGGCAGGGGGGCCAGTTAGGGGCGGGCGTCGCACAACATTACAAGATGGCCACCCTCACATTGTCACAGATGGCCACCACAAGTTGGTCACCACAAGATGGCTGGCAGGGAAGAGCAGTTGGGGGTGAATGGGCCAGCAGGGGAGGGCAGTTGGGAGGCGATCAGGCCGGCAGGGGAGGGCATTTGGGGGCGAGATCAGGCTGGCAGGGGAGGGCAGTTGGGCGTAATCCAGCTGGCAGGATTGAAGCAATTGGGGGCGATTCGGCCTGCAGAGGAGCAGTTAGGCGTCAATCAGGCCAGCAGGGGAGCGGTTAGGGGCAATCAGGCAGGTAGGCAGGCCAGCGGTTAGGAGCCAGCAGTCCCAGATTGTGAAAGGTATGTCCCAGATTGGAGAGGGTACAGGCTGGGTTGAGGGACACCTCTCCATGCACGAATTTCATGCACTGAGCCTCTAGTACTCTTAACAAAAAAGTAATTCTCTTACATTTCTATAAAAGAAGGTAACTAGGTCAATATTTTCCAAACTCTGTTTTTTAGAACTAATGTCAATAATTTATAAATTGTTTTGAGGATAATGTTTCCATGGTCAAATAAGTTTAGGAAATACAAATTAAAGTTTCAGAGGTTCTTTAATATGGGATTTTTTGGGTCTGTGAATATTGCAGAGAATATTTATTTGACCTTGGTCATGCTCTGGATGATGATTTTGGGGTTATTTGTATAGAAGTTATGATTTGAATTGTTCCTAAGGATGCGGTATATCAGACTGAACAGGTCTGAATGGTAAATATTTCCATATGAATGTTCTACAGGCACCACAAATGCAGTATGTCCAAAATGGAATTCATTTTTTTCTGCAGCATATGCTTTTCTCTCCTTGAATTGTCTTTTTTGGTTATTGGCATTTCCATTCTCTTGTGACTCAAGGCAGACATTTGGGGGCTCATATTTGTGCCTTTCGTTTACATTTATCAAGTTGGTACTTACATTCTGTTGATTTTATCTTGTTTTTATCGTCTGCTAAACTTTGTCTTGTCCGCTTTACTTAAGACAGTCATTAACTGTTCTTTATATGGACGCCTGACTAGAGCCTACTCTCTTTTAATATGTCCTTCTCTTTCTGTTGCACAAATCTGATCATATTTTCCTATTAACCTTAGAATAAAGTTCTTAGCAAAAACACTTCAGCATGGCAATCAAGACTTTTTCTGAAATGGCCCTTGCTATCTCTGCATCTTCAAGTTATTCTTCCTTGTTCCCTACAACCAATCATATGGGATCACTCAGGGTATCATATAATTGCCATCTTGTTTTTTATTTCTTTGCCTTTAACTCTGCTTGAATCCCTTTCCCTGTTTTGCTTTTTTTAAATTTTTATTTAATCCTCACCCAAGGACATATTGACTGTTAGAGAGAGGTGGGGGAGAGAGGTGGCGGAAAACAAATCAATGATTGCCTCCCATACTGCACCCCAACCAAGATTGAACCCACAGTTTAGGTGTATGCCCTGACCAGGAATTGAAACCATGCCTTTTCAGTGTTCAGGACAATGCTCCAACAAACCTAGCCACACCATCCAGAGGTTTGCTCTTGCTGCAAACCAGTTCACTGTGGTGTATTCACTCTGTCCTTGCCTCTTTCATCTTCATAGTAACGTAGTACTTTCTTTATACAGCCACTGAGTCATATAGATGTTTCTTTTCTAGCACTTTACAATTCTGTAAACATATGCTTCAATATGTTTCCTTAACAGTGAATTTCTTGAAAGGAGGGAATGTGTATTAACTTTGGACTGGAACTCTTAGCGCATTACCTGATGTATGTGCAGCCCGGTAAATGTTTAGCTCAGTTACCCTTTCCATATATAATATCTATTAACACCTCTTAGAACAAATGATCAGAAATGGTGCATTAGATTTTTACTATTATTTATTAGTATGCTCACAAATATTCTTAAATTGAAGATTAAATTTTGAAAATCAGCATTGAAATTTTTGGCTTTTAAATGTTATTGGAAAGAGAGTGGCCTGGCTGAAATGAATCAACATTTTCTCCCTTATAGCTCCTTTCGCCACCCAATGGTATGTGTATAGTGTGAATGAAACTTCAAAAGGACATACTAATGTAATTGACCCCAAATATTCATTTTACATGTAACCTTGGGTCATCTGACCTGCAGATTAATGAAAGTAGGGACATTTATTCCATTTTCAACTTCAGAGGGAAGAGATTGTCTTTGAGAAATATATCGGAAAGATTTATTTCAGCAGGTTTATATACAGAAGAAAAATTACTTATTTGTAATCATGATCTCTAGTTATTTGTTGTTGAAATTGATCACCAGTCAGTCATGTTTTCTTTACATTGAAATCTTAAATAGTGTTTGTTTGAAATGCTATACAACATTTTTCTATAAAAAATTATGACAACATTCACAGGTAAAAAGTGTAATTATGTAATGACAGGTCCTTAGCTCAGAACTTTGAGCTTAGCAAATTTTCACTATCTTCTACCAAGCAGTTGAATATCTCAAATGATGACTATTTCAGCAAGTATCTTTAATGAATAAAAATTACAGGTAAAAACTTTTTTCTTGCCGAAACCAGTTTGGCTCAGTGGATAGAGCGTCGGCTTGTGGACTGAAAGGTCCCAGGTTCGATTCCGGTCAAGGGCATGTACCTGGGTTGCGGGCACAGCCCCAGTAGGAGGTGTGCAGGAGGCAGCTGATCGATGTTCCTCTCTCATCGATGTTTCTAACTCTCTATCTCTCTCCCTTCCTCTCTGTAAAAAATCAATAAAATATATTTTAAAAAAACTTTTTTCTTTTTAAAAAATGTTAATGATGTATTCATAGTGCATTGTAATTTGTTAATCTTAAGTATGCTTTCATAGTTACAAAAATGTAGTATACATTTTAGTGATGAATGTGGTAATTCAATGAAATTTTAGTGTACTTTTCTAATTTTTTTTTAGATTTGTTTTTCTAAATGTTTTTACTGGTTATTATAATCCTGTTTCTTAAACAGTACCAATATGATTAAAACCCAAACAAAATTGGCATCCCAATTTTGATAAGCCTCTTAAGGCTAGTTATTGTAAGAATTTATTTTGTTCTTATTTATCAGTTTCTTAGCCAGTAAAATGTAGAGTAATAAAAAAACTCTGTTACCAACCTCCATTGCAGAGATTACAAGGACTCAATGTCGCCAATTGAAATGCAATAATAGTAACATGCTTAATTAGTAGCTTTCATTTTAATTGCTGCATAACATCAACTTATTAGAATAGCTATATGTGTAAATGGTTATCATGATAATGTTTCTTAAGAATATAAAGTCTTTGCTGAAAAGGAAAGGCTTTTATAAAATACTCTTAAGTTGCTTTGTGACGAATTTATTTCAGTTTTTCAAACTAAGTTTAAGATTATTAAGTTTAAGATTATTAGAAATAAAAATCAATTGTAATTTACAAATTTATTTTAAAATTTCATTAACCCAATACCTACTTTTTGTTTCATCAGACTAATTTTTATGTTTTCTTACTGCTTTATACATGTTAATATTAAAACTATTATTTTTCTATATATAAAATCATTAAAGCAGTGAAGTTTTACTGTACACTTGATGTTATTTCATTTTTATAAATATTACTGTTTACAATTAAATAGTTGAGAGAATTACAAATCTTTAACCCGAAAACAATTGACATTTGTGCATTTTGCTCACTTTTTGTGCAAATTTTCTTCATTTACATTTGTTTAGTAACTTAGTTCTAATTATTTTAATATACTACCAATATAGTTCTTATGCACAAAAGGACATGCTCTATTTTAAATTGTTTGCAATTTCACCTAATAACTAAAACATAGGTAAGTAATTGTACATAGTTAAGTTATTAAAATATAGTAAGGCACTAGCATTGTATAGACATAATTTTTAGAATTTATCCTAAGAGAATGGGTAAAGAAAAGGGGTTTTTGCAAATTCCATATTTCAACTACTAACTATGAGAGTAGCTTTTAGCATGGTTGACGCTCTATTCTACTAGATGTCTTCATTTATGTTCATGAGATTTAAGTTAGCATAGTTGTTGCTAATGTTAAATATATTAATACTTAAGTATAGCTATTAAACTTCCATAAAGTTATGAAATACTCAACTCTATTAATGGCATTTCAAATCAGGTCGGCCTCCTAATTATACAGATTTTAATATATCAGCAAATGATATTTAGTCATCAGTAGTTTCTGAAATAAAAATATTTTGGAAAAGTTAGTTTTTATATTAATTATTTTAAAAGTTTCATAGGTAGTATATGCCTTCGTTAATATAAGAAGTTACAATTGGTATAGTTTTAGAAATCAAGAAGTTTAAAAAAATTATAGCTAATATTTGAACTATGCTTATAAAGGTTTTTAAGAGAATACAGCCTCCAAAATTCTAAAATTCTGTGATTTTTATCACCTCTAAGTAAGTTAATTGTAATAGATATTGAAATTGCATTATCATATTGAATTTCACCATAGATGAAATGTATTATCACACTTTTTAAGTCCTAAAATACTAGTCAATATTAATGCATATCACATATATTAATCATATAGCCTACTTTTATTTTTTAAAGAGTAAATTTTTTTGAAACTGTTTTACTAATGTGTTATGCCATTTATTTTAAATTGTACTGTTTTATCTGTTTCCATTGTAATTATAAAAAATTTAATATTTATTTTGTTTTCAAGATTAAAAAATGAAGCTCCCACTAAGGAACAAAAACCTGTGTCGGAGGTAAATTTTGTCTTATTTTATATCTTAAAGATTTATACATTAGAAAGTATTGTTGGTGTGGTTTTTTAGAAAAAAAGTATTAATTCAGTGTGCTTACATTGATAACAGTTGTTGGCATGTTAACAGGAAAAAATTGAGATGATTAAAAATTATTTCATTAGATATAAAAAATATCTAATCCTAAGTAAAACTGTAAGGTGGTTTTGTTTTGACAAAGACATTATATATTTCATTTGCCTGTTTAATTCAACTAGTGAATAATGAAAATAATTCATGATTTTAAAATTCTGAAATCCATAAAACCTCAAACATTTGGTACATTGGAAAATTAGTCTTTCCAGATGATATAACTTTAGGAGGAATTTAGACTGTCGAAGATTTAACTAATTTTTTAAGTGAAAATATTCTGGATATATGGTAACTGTTTTAGCTATTTTAAACAGGCACTGAGCATATAACACTCAGGGTTATCATATAAAATGTTATTTACTGGGCAGTCTAATAAAGGAGAAATTTCTAATTTTTAAAGTTAGAAATAATTTTGCTCAAGTGCTTGCTTTCTTGATGTTAATTTTTAAAACCATTACTTAATATTATTGGTATGTGTTTTTTCTGAGTATAATGAAGTGAGACAGGTTTAGCATTTATCTTTTGCATAGCATTATGTCTTATACAGAGTAAGACCAAGGCAGAAGTAGCAGCCTTCTTCCAAGCAGCTTTTATACCACAGAAAGTTTTCTTTTGTATGAAAGGTTTTTAACTACAAATAAATTTCTTTAATAGATATAGGATATTTGATTATCTGTTTATTCTTGAGTAGTTTTGGTAGTTTGTGGTTTTTAAGGAATTGGAACATTTAATTTGAGATGTTGAATTTATGTGAATAGAGTTGTTTGTAGTATTCCCTTATTCTTTTAAATGTCTGTGGGTTCTGTAGTGATTAATCCTCTCTTTCATTCCTGATATTGGTAGTTTCTGTGTTTTCCCCCCTATTGTTTTCATGTACTATATATAACTTTTAAAGACAAAATACAATGTTATTGTTTTTGCTTTAGTCAGTTATTTTGTAGAGCAATTTAAAACTTTAAAAAGTAATATTGCATTTACTTTCATGTTCATTATTTCCAATAGTCCTCATATCTTTATGGAGCTCTTCTTTTCTGTCTAGTATCATATTCCTTTGACCTAAAGAACTTCCTTTGCTATAACTTTCATTTACATATCTACTGATAGGTAATTATTGTTATTCTTTTTCCACTTTTTTAAAAGATTTTTTTGTGAGTATATAGGGTTCACAGTTTTCACTCAGCAGTTTAAAGAAGGTATTGTATTGTCTCTTGGCTTGCATATGTTCTGATGAGATGTCTTACTGTAATTTTTATCTTTTGTTTCTATGTATGTATGTAATATGTCATTTTTCTTTGGCCCTTAAGATTTTATCTTTATTTTATCTTTAGTCTTCATTATTTTGAACATGATTTGACTAAGTTTGGTTTGTTCATTTATTTATATGTTTATCTATTTTTGTATTTATTTTTTGCATTTATCCTGACTGGTGTTCTCTAAGCTGTTTTGTATCTTCAATTTCTGGGGTTCCAGTTTCACATGTGTTATACATTTGATGTTAGTCCCGGTTCTTAAATGCCTGTTCTGGTTTCTACACTCCATCCCCCAATACAGATATTGCTATGACATATGTCTGCTATTCCGCTGCCTATGAAGTCTTCTAAGATTTTTATAGTTTCCCATCTTATGTTTAAGTCCATTTTGAGTTTATTCTTGTATATGGTGTAAGTTGGTGTTCTACTTTCATTTTTTTTGCATGTATCTGTTCCATTTTCCCAACACCATTTATTGAAGAGACTGTCTTGACTGTCTCCTTTTTCAATATCCTGTAGTTTTCCAAGTACAGGTCTTTTATCTCCTTAGTTAAGTTTATTCCTAGGCATCTTAATTTTTTTGGTGCAATGGTGAATGGGATTGTTTTTTTAATTTCTATTTCTGTGAGTTCATTATTACTGTATTAAAAAAAAGCCATAGCTTTCTGGGTGTTAATTTTGTATTCTGCTACATTGCCGAATTCATTTATTACGTCTATAATAATAAAAGTGTAATATGCTAAATAGACCGGACATCCCTCCAGACAACCTTCTGGACAAAGCCAGGGCTGCGAGGGAAGCCCGGATCCTGGATGCCTGCCAGCATCGGGAGGGAAGCCCGGGTGCCAGGTGCCTGCCTGTGGCTGGAGGGAAGCCTGGGTCCTGGGTGCAGTCTTTGAGGTTTTCTATGTACAGTATCATGTCATCTGCGAATAAGGGTAGTTTTATTTCTTCTTTTCCAATTTGGATGCCTTTTCTTTCTTCTTCTTGTCTGATCACTATGGCTAGCACTTCCAGTACTATATCAAACAGAAGTGGTGAAGTGGACATCCTTGTCTTGTTCCTGTTCTTAGGGAAAATGGTTTTAGTTTTTGCCCATTGAGTATGATGTTGGCTGTGGGTTTGTCATATATGGCTTTTATTGTGTTGAGGTATGAGCCTTCTATTCCCACCTTGCTGAGAGAATTTATCAAGAAAGGGCTTTGGATTTTGTCAAATGCTTTTTCTGCATTGATTGATATGATTATGTGATTTTTGTCTTTCAGTTTATGTGATGTATCACATTTATTGATTTGTGGGTTTTATACCATCCTTGCATCCCCGGAATAAATCCCACTTGATTATGGTATATGATCTTTTTAATGTAATGCTGGATCTGATTTGTTAGAATTTTGTTGAGGATTTTGGCATCTATGTTCATCAAGGATATTGACCTGTAATTCTCTTTCTTTGTAGTGTCCTTATCTGGTTTTGAGATTAGGGTAATGCCTGCTTCATAGAAAGAGTTTGGAAGTGTTCCTTCCTCTTGAATTGTTTGGAATAATCTGAAGAGGATAGGTTTTAGTTCTTTGAATGTTGGTAAAACTCCCCTTAAGTTACATTTTCTGAAAAAGAACTGTTTCTGAAAAAGAACTGTTTCCCAAAATAAACTTAAAAGAATGACATTGTTTTCCACTTTTGCATATCTCTTTAATGTCTAGTTTAGTAGAAGAAAACTGAATTCTTATGTTTCTGCATTCAGCCTGTTGTGAAATGTTGTTTTGGTTGAAATTTATTATAAAGACTATTCAGTCTTATCCAGTACTTTAAAAATCTTTTAAAATAATTCTGATTATTCGCCTTTAATATTACATAAAAATAGACAAGTGGGCCCTAGCTGGTTTGGCTCAGTGGATAGAGCGTCAGCCTGTGGACTGAAAGGTCCCAGGTTCAAATCTGATCAAGGGCACGTGCCTGTGTTGCAGGCTCGATCCCCAGTAGGGGGCATGCAGGAGGCAGCCCACCAGTGATTTTCTCTCATCATTGAGGTTTCTCTCTCTCTCCCTCTCCCTTTCTCTCTGAAAGCAATAAAAATATATATATTTTAAATAGACAAATAGAAGTTTTCTTAAATATGTATTGCAATATGGAATTGACTCCATTTAACTAAATTTTTTGTACTTTGTTACATTAAAATCTGTTATTCTGTCTTACACTTTGATTGAATATTTTATCCATGGATGATTTTATGTCAGGCATTGCTCATTTGTATAATATTGGTTCACTGAGTTACTTAAATCCTCCAAATGTTGACATGTTTTATTATATAATATCAATTATCATGTTCATTAAGATTATCATAAATCTTATCAGTGGTGGATACAAATTTTCCTAAAATATAATTTTTACTTGAATTTTATTATTGACAACAAATAATGTCAGCTGTTTTCTTTAGTATGACAGGCTCACTTTGTCAATTTTCAAGAAAATGTCTACTAAACAGCCAAGTTTAAGTGTCCATACTTTAAAACAAAAAAGAAGTTCATACTTTGCCAGTCATTCTTTAAAATAAGAACTATGTTAAATGGAAAAAATGTGGCTAGGTTTTGCTCACAGCTTAGTCACAGACTGAAGTATTTTCAATATGCAGTACTTCATGCATACATTCTATTTTATCACACAATATTAAAAAGACATAAACTAAAGGATTGAAATATAAAATTATATGACATATAATAAAATTTACTGCTGGCGTGTGCTGGTAAAGAATACAGTGATTACTAGTATAGTTTTGATTTAGTGACATTCCTTTGATTTGTGTGAAGCTACCAGCAGTTTTCCCCACCACTGCTTTTGTTTGAACCTCATGTGCCTTGGGTGTTTTGGAGGCCCTAGGTGTCTGTGAACCACACTCAAGAACTGCTTACATGGATTTGTGTATATAAAGGTCACCTCCTGGATTGCAGTACAATCTGCACAGTCTGTGTGGGAATTATTTAAACTTTAACATATAAAATCGGGTGCTCTGCTGGCTGATTCTTTGGTGGAGAGTATAGTTTCAAAAGCATTCTGGGAAACCTTTTCTTTGGGGCTGGCAATTTTCTCCAAAGAGGAAATCTTCTAGGTTCCAGTTGGGAGTGGTAGGATGAAGAGTGATTCCTCTGGCTCCTGGGACTATGGATTCCTTTACTCAGTTTATGGATTTTTATTAATTTTTTTGTTTTATCTCTGTTTCTCATGCCTGCCCTTTGTTGTTCCTGGTGTTTGTTCACAAGTTTACATTGTCTCCAGTTCAGAGTTAACCTTTAGCCACTGTGTAAGGATAGGTATGTGTTGTGCGAGTTATAGAAAAAGCATTTAGATTTCTCAGCAGTCTTTGTGCTTCATTTTTACCTTTTCTGTACTGAATATTGTACTAAATTCTTCCAAATACTAGATTTTTTGGGTTGCCTGGACAAATGGATTCTCTTCCTACACTTTCCACTCAGATGTTTTGTTGTAACTTCTTCCACACTGGGAAGTCAGTTTCCAGTCCTCCAGCCACTTTCCATTTAAAAATGTGTTGAAATCTCTTTGACAATAAGTCTGCCTTGGTGTTTGCTTGGTTTTTATGAGTGAAGATGATTTATTTCTCTGTCCTCATTGTAGCAGGATTTTGGGAAAGTGAGGAAATAAATGTATGTGATTAATATACCATTATCACAGGCTTGTTTTAGTCACTATACTGGTTAAGAGCTAGATCTGGATTTTAATCCATACTGCTGATTGTGGTATTGCTTTAGTTCTCTACTTAACCTGTGAACCCTTATTTTTCATTTGTAAAAATAGAATTTATGATATCTAATATGAGAATTAAATGAGATAGTGAATATAAAGTTCTTAACATACTACATGCATTATATGTGTTTATTAATTGGTAATTGTCATAAACTGTTTTGCTGGCCTCTGGCAAACTGAGGTTTTACTGTATTCCTTCCTCCCTGTAAAAGATTTGAAATAAGAAAATATTTAATTTGTCTATCACTTAATATTACTTAGTTTGACAGTGGAAGGGTTACTGTGACTCATATGAAACGATAATTTCACAAATGTTTATATTTAAGTAACTATACTTAATATGTTTGTATAAAAATACTGTGAATACAACTTGTTCAAATATAAATTGTCTAAAACTATAACTAGTTTTCTACTCAAGTAAAATGACTTGGGAGTGTGGGGCACTGACCCACACACATAGTTGAAAATTCGTGTATAACTTTAGACTTACCCCAAATTTAGCTGTAGTATGGTTCCTTAGGTATCTGCAGGGCACTGGTTCCAGGACCTCACTCCCCTCCCAAAGGATACCAAAGTCCGTGGATATTCAAGTCCCTTATATTAAACAGTGTAAAATATTGCATACAATTGGTCTACCACATCCGTGGATTGCCAACTGCAGATTGAAAGTACTGTTTTTAATATGAGGTCAGTTGAATCCACGGAAATGAAACCCAGGGATTCAGGGTGTCAACTATATATTTATTGAAGAAAAATCTGCGTTTAAGTGGACCTGCACAGTTCACCCCCGTGTTGTTCAAGGAACTGTGATTGTAATTATGTCCCATATTTGAAACAGAATCTAAGGCAGTGGTTCTCAACCTTCCTAAGGCCACAACCCTTTAATACAGTTCCTCATGTTGTGGTGATCCCCAACCATAAAATTATTTTCGTTGCTACTTCATAACTGTAATTTTGCTACTGTTATGAATCGTAATGTAAATATCTGATATGCAGGATGTATTTTTATTGTTACAAATTGAACATAATTAAAGCATAGTGATTAATCACAAAAACAATATGTAATTATATATGTGTTTTCCGATGGCCTTAGGCGACCCCTGTGAAAGGGTCGCTCCACCCCAAAGTGGTCGCGACCCACAGGTTGAGAACCGTTGATCTAAGGAAACCAGGTATTCTTATAACTGGATAACTGTTTCATGGCCTTAATTCAGAAACCTGTGGTACAGAGAATTTCATACAGGTTTCTTTAAAAACAATTTTAAAAAATTATACTTTTGATAATGAGAATTATTCTAGTTTGTATTTTTAATTAAAAAATTGTTTTTCTAGTTCCTTGGTATATAAGATTGCACACTTAAATTTCTTTTATCCAGAGAGCTTAGTATAATAAAAGCAGTTTAAGTTTATCCATAATGATAAATTATTATTTATCATTTCAGGAAATTGCAAGACCTAATAAGGCTGAAGGAGAAACAGAAACATCAAATTCTGAAAGGTAAATAAATATAAGGAAAAACTGAATCTCAAATCCAAGTATGAGTATAAAATGACATTTGAGTTGTATTAGTGTAGTTAAATAAAGGAGTATTTAAATACTTGTATATGTTGTTGTTTTTAATAATGACTTTTAATTAAAATAAATTTTTGAAATTTTAATACAGCAAAATTATATTACAGATCCCTAATTTTGAAATACTTTTATATATGTAGAGTATAAAGTTGTTAAAATTTTTAAAGCTAGTAAGTAAAATTTAACAGATTTTTATTGACCCTATTAAACAAAAACAGTTACAATTAGCTACAAGTTACAACATTGGGACAATTATCACAATTGGTAATTTCGAAATATTTTTTTTAAAAGTATTTTCGAAAATCTTTAAAGCTACTTATTTATGTGGTGGCATCTCAGCTTAAAGTTTCAAAATTTAGAAATTGGTTTTTAAAAATTTAATGCTCAGGTAGAACACTAAAGAACAAAAGACAACCTCCAGTTCCCTTTCCATCGGATCTGAACACCAATCTTGTTGGTCGTAGAGGAAGAAAAGTAATAGTAAAGCTGGCCTCACAGTGCTTACAGTCTGTGGGCTAGTTTCAAACAAGGTAATAATAAAAAAAAAAGAACACAAGACATTCACAATCTTTTAGTAAAAGAATTCCAACTTTCTAATTAGAACTCTTTCCAGATAAAGATAATCTTATTTTACCTTTTGAATTAAATAATTTCTCCATTTTTATCTTTCTACTGTATATTTTACAGTAGGTTGCTTGTTAATCTCATGAGATTAATTAATCTATTGCTCTTAAAAAACAAATTATGGAATAAGGTTTTATGAAAGGTCTTAACTTAGACTTAACTTAGTTAGCATTTTTCATAGAATCCTGGAAGGAAGGGAGAAGAGTTTAGAGGGAAAAAGCAGACTAGTCTCTTCTGAATTACTTAACATTTTTTATAAATTGTAGTTAGTCCAATAAGAGCTAAACAAAAATAACAATTATACGACTCTAAATGAGGAAAATAAAAATTTTTTCAGATGATGTAATTGACGTATAAGAAACAAAAAAGTGAGCTAATATTCTTTTCTATATACCAATTACAAAATACAATGGACAAAAGAGTTAATTCACAATATTAACAAAAATGAGAAATGGGTAAGATCTAAATAAAAAACAAAAATTTACTGAGATAGAAAATAATATATTAACACATTGTTTGCAGGTAGTTTTTATCGCACGCTAACAGGTGGCACGGGCCATTTTTGCTAATTTTTTGCGCAAATGGCAACGTTCAGTAAAATTACAATAACTTTAGTTTATGTATTTATATGTTACCTGCATTCTACTGCTAGTCTATAAAATACCTATTAATATGTGTCCTGCGCTCTACTACCAGTCAACGTAAAACATATAAGTAAAACGTATAAATATGTTTCCCGCATACAATATGTTAATAACTTGCATGATAGGCCATTTGCAAATTAAGTTATGGGTTTAGTGAACATTTAGTTAAAAATTCCAATGACATTTGGTTTGGAAACTGACAAAGTTTAAGGTTCTGATTTTTCTATTTATTAATACCATGCCCGGCCTGTGCCCTCTCACAGTCTGGGACCCCTCGGGGAATGACCACCTGCTGGCTTAGGCCCGCTCCCCGGGGGGAATTGGGCCTAAGCTGGCACTCAGACATCCCTTTGGCAGCCCGGCAGCCCTCGGGGGATGTCCACTTGCCAGCAGGGAGCAGACCTAAGCTGCATTCGGACATCCTTAGCACTGCTGAGGAGGCAGGAGAGGCTCCCACCACCACCACTGTACTGGCAGCCATCAGCCTGGCTTGTGGCTGAGCAGAGCTCCTCCCATGTGAGAGCGCCCTGACCACCAGAGGGCAGCTCCTGCATTGAGCGTCTGCACCCTGGTGGTCACTGTGTATCATAGTGACCAGTCATTCCCAGTCCTTCGGCAGTTAGGGTCAGTTTGCATATTACACTTTTACTATATAGGATAGAGGCCTGGTGCATGGGTGGGGGCCAGCTGGTTTGCCCTGAAGGATGTCCCGGATCAAGGTGGGGGTCCCGCTTGGGTGCCTGGCCAGCCTGGGTGAGGGGCTGATGGCTGTTTTCAGGCTGGCCACACCCCCTTCATGGTGGGGGTCCCCACTGGGGTGCCTGGCCAGCCTGGATGAGGAGCTGATAGCTGTTTGCAGCTGGTCACACCCCCTTTAGGGTGGGGGTGGCCAGGGAGTTGGGGTGCCTTCCCCTGTCATGAATAGAGAAGGACAGATAGGGAGGTTGTGGCCCCACCCGCTGTCACACACAGAGCCGCAGGGCGATCAGGGGGTTTGGGCGCTGCCCCCTGTCACACTGATCCCGGTGCTGGGAGGCCTCGCGGCTCCGCTGATCCCGGTGCTGGGGGGCATATTACCCTTTAACTATATAGAATAGAGGCCTAGTGCACGGGTGGGGGGCAGCTGGTTTGCCCTGAAGGGTGTCCTGGATCAGGGTGGGGGTCCCCACTGGGGTGCCTGGCCAGCCTGGGTGAGGGGATGATGGCTGTTTGCAGCTGGTCACACACCCTTCAGGGTGGGGGGTCCCCACTGGGGTGCCTGGTCAGTCTGGATGAGGGGCTGAGGGCCGTTTTCAGGCTGGCCGGCAACTGAAGCCCCAGCCTCTCTTTTTTTTTCTTTATTTTTTTATTCTGGGATTTATTTACCTTCTGTAATTGAAACTTTGTTGCCATCACTGGTGCTCCCAGCTCTGAGGCTTCAGCTGGCTGAAAGCAGGTATCTGGGGTTTGTTTGGCTTCTATAGTTGAAACTTTGTTGCTTTTGGAGCTGTTGCTTTCAGAGCTTAGAGCAGGCCACGGCAGGCTGGGAACCTTGGCTTCCTCCATCACTGGAGCAAGCAAACCTCCTGCTCACTTCAGCTGCGTGGCTGCCGCCGCCATCTTGGTTGGCAGTTAATTTGCATATCTTGCTAATTAGCCAATGGGAAGTGTAGCGGAGGTACGGTTAATTACCCTTTGTGTCTTTTATTAGATAGATTTGCCCTGTTGTTAGATATTAAGGTTGTTTCTGTATTCACTATTGCAACATTATTTTAATGGACATCCATGTACAAATATCCTTTACATTTTTAAATGATTAAATTTTGGAAGAAGAGCAGTATAATGAAGGCAGTTTGCTCTATTAAATAACAAAGCACATTGTAAAATGTATAATTGTTAAGATTATGTAGTATTGGCTCAAGAAAAGTGTAAAGACAGATCAGAGGAAAATGCATTGCAGAGAAATGGCCTTATAAATATAATTTAGTAAATAATAAATATTTGATACCATTGGTTTGATATTTGTCATTTCATTAGGGAAAAGTCTAAATTCTGGGTAGATTTATGTAAGAAATAAGACTTGTGTTATCGTAAATTAATTCTCACTAAAATAAACATTGTTACATCTAGATAAGGGGCTAGAGATACTCTTAGAAGTCTTTTATTTCTAATGTTTTATTATTTACTAGAATCTAGTGGTCGGCAAACTCATTAGTCAACAGAGCCAAATATCAACAGTACAACAATTGAAATTTCTTTTGAGAACCAAGTTTTTAAAACTTAAACTATATAGGTAGGTACATTGTTATTAACTTAATTAGGGTACTCCTAAGGCTTAGGAAGAGCCACACTCAAGGGGCCAAAGAGCTGCATGTGGCTCACGAGCTGCACTTTGCCGACCGCAGTACTAGATAGTTTCTATTAACACATCAAGGTAAAAATAAAGACATAGACACACACTCAAACATATACGTATACAAACATGCACACACATCTATGAATATATGCATGCATATTTACATATATTTTTTTCAGGCATATTTTTGTGTTTAATTAGATTGTTAAAAATTAGGAAAATATTTGTGAATGCTTATTAGATTTTGCATAGGGAAATACACTATAACCGTAAGAAGACATATAAATCATAAAAGAAAAATAGCTATTTTTACATATATATTTCTTTCTTATTTAAAGTACTCTTAGAAATTAATAAGAAAGCTTAAATTTTAACTAAAAACAGGCAAGGATGATAACAAATGAAAATGATAACCAGGACTAAAACCAGTTGATAGACTCTACAGGTCTATTTTTAATATGTGATTCTGGAGTTTTTCATTCTTGCCTCAGAAAATGGCCATCTCCTAAATTGTAACGTGGCAAGTACCATGAACCTGTTTTGTTTTGTTTTGTTTTTTTCCTCCTTTTTGGTGGGCAAATGGGCCTTGGTTTAAAAAAAAAAAAATTAGAGCGTGTCTTTATTACGATAATGTTAAAAAACATTGTATTATGAAGCAATAGGTAATAAATGGCCTTATTTTTTCAGTAAACATGATAAAGCTTCTTCAGAGGAAAAAAGTGGATGTGATGCAAATGCATTTGAAGGCTCATCAGCAACAAAAAGTGAAGAAAGCACAATAATTTCAGATAAGGAAAACAGTACCTGTCTTGAAGACAAAGAAACTGGCTCAAAGACTATCTTCAGTAATGTTTCAAATATTGGTAAAGATAAAGTGGAAAAGGAAAACCAAATAGAGAACATTGATCAGGAAACGGAGTTGAAGATGTGCCAAAGTTCAGAAAACATAATTCCATGTGATCAGATTAAAGATCAAAGCTCCAATGAAGCTAGGTTTTCTTTGAAGAATATTAAGGATTTGCAGTTAGCATCTGGTGATGTGAGCATTGATCAGTTTTTGAGAAAAAGAGATGAACCTGAGTCTGTTAGTTCTGATGTTAGTGAGCAAGGCAGTATTCATCTGGAACCTTTGACTCCATCGGAGGTACTTGAGTTTGAAGCCACAGAAATTCTTCAGAAAGGTAGTGGTGATTCTTCAGCCAGGTCTGATGAAGTAGAGTCTGATCAAAAAGATGGTGTTCCTGGAGAAAATAGCCCTAGCACAACAGAGACAACAGGAGACCTGGCAGATGAAAAAGAAAGTTGAAATTAGTTGTCATTCTCAGTTTTAGTGTATCGGTGGTAAGAGCATTCAGATCAGTGCTACCAGGTGAGCTCAGTGGTGCTGTTGTAGAGTTCAGAAATAGAAAAATGTGAGGAGGTCATTTATACACTTTATCTGTATGTTCAGCCTTGGTCATTACAGAAATCAGTTGAATAATAGCATGGTTAGTATGAATTTCCAAGAGGTTTTAAAACATAAATAGAAAAGCTTCATTTAACAGTTCTCAAGGAAATAGAACTTGGTTGCCAGTATGAATTGATTATTAGAATATTATTTATGTTTATAAAGCAGTGAAACTTCCATCAATCCTAAGCTAAAAATCCTTATACCTTTATATTCTTCTCAACTTAAAAGAAGAAATTTGGAAACCATATATCTTTGGGGAATTTTTAGATAATGGCTAATTGGCATTGTTAATAAAGCTTTATTTGGAGTATGATGCTGGTAAATGCATAGAGTGTGAAATTAATGAATCTATTGAGAATTTTGATACACATAAACTTAATTTTGGATGTAACATTCCAGACTGTCAGAAGCATGTAAACAGAATATTTGAATCTGTGTACCTCCATACATGTGTTAGTCTGCCAGGCTATAAGCTTACCTTAATTAAACTTTCAGTGAAAGTGAAATTATTAAAACATAAATTTATATTTGTGTTTTTTGTCAGTGTGAGCTGTGCAGAAATCCCTTGATGTGCTAGTTGTATAAAGTAGAAACCCACTGTTAAAAATCCTGTAGTTATTATGCTTTTAATATTGTTTTAATGATCTTTAGAAATAGACCCTTAAAAATGGTCTGGAAACCAAACCAAAGTATGGAATACTGTAGATATTGTAAAGCAGTCAACTGAAAACATGTCCTGGCATGAATCCAGGCATGTTTAAGTGACGTTCTCTTTAATTGTAAAATAGAAACTTCAAATGGGACCTAAAGCAGTGATGTAAAAAATTGTTTTGGGGATATTTAGTCTAATTTATCCATAAGATGGCTGCTAAATTGATTTCTCAGTTGTTTTTAATCATCTAGAAATAATAGATTTAGAAATGAGTAAATGAACAACCATAGTTTGCTTTGAAATACTAATAAACTTTTATTTAAAATGCTACATTTTTACTTCTTAAAATGTGCTTTGAATCCTTAAATTTTGTTTCACTGAATGTTAAATGTTTTAAATGTCTGTTAAAATCCTGATGTATATAGTAGTTTTTGAGTAAATATTTGCAATAAAAATATGTACCTGAATAATTTTATTTTTCAGAAAACTGCTTGAGTCAGTTTACCTTTGGTGCCTTTACAAACTATATTTTTTTAAGGAATTTTCATGTTAAAGTTAGTGGTACGATTTCATTCTGTATTCTTTACTTGGTGTATAATAGATCATAAATTAGTACTTAAAGTATAGGGGGAAATACTGCTAATATTTACAGAGAATGGATTTGTTTGCTAAATCCTTTCACTTCAAGAGATATATGTTAATATTATAATTTCCTATCTGCTCAGTACATTAAAGAGGCTAAATGGGCAAAATATATTATCAACGTATTTTCTTGAATATTTGGCGGGTAGGAGTGTAAATATTTTCATTTTTTCTGCACCCAAGAAAAAATACGGAGAAAAGGACCCATTAACTATCACCCTTAACCTTGTTTAAACATAAATCTATATAGCGGAAAAAATTGGGGGAGTAGAGAAAAGTCTATATAAGGATCATTTTCTGAATGTCATTCAGTTAGTTAGTGCCAAACCTATGCTAGAAAATCCTTGAGCCCTGTACCAAATAAGTCCAAATGACGCTATAGTCCTTTTTGAGCTTTGGGGTTGTTCGTCTGCCTCTATAAGAATAGTGGTATTCAAAGTAGCTGATCAGTAAGCTGTTTGATTTTTAGAGAGAGAGGGAGTGAGAAGGAGAGAAAGAGACACATTGATGTGAGATTGAAGCATTGACTGGCTGCCTCCTGCACGCCCCCTGAGCTCAGGCATGTGTTGGGAATCCAATGGGCAACCTTTCCGAGCATTGGACAATGCCCAAGCAACCAGCCAGAAATTAAACATTTTTATAAAGGATTTTGGTAAGATATGAGTTACCTTGTTTTTGTTGTAAGTAAAAAATGAGGAAATCAACTATGTGGGCAATTATTTGCCTAAGATTACAAAGCCAAGATTGAACTCAATTTGATCTCATTCTAAAGTTATTATTTTCTACCTTATAGTTCTCAGCATTTATACCGAATGCTGCTTATTAAAATAAATCTTTTTTTTGCAAATAACATGCCCATTGATGATACAATTATAGTTTATTATTTATACAGTTATATGTATACTAGTGGCCCAGTGCACAAAATTTCTGCACATTAAAAGGGAATTAATTAGGAAATATTTTAATATTGCTATTTGTGCTTTCTATATAATAGAAGTGTCAGAGATGAAAGAAAATGAGTAAAATGTATATGAAAATCTCCCTCCTGTCAGAGTCTGGGGTGCACCGCGGGAACCAGAGTCAAGTCCCTGCCCACCCATGCCTCGAAATCACGTGAGACCCAGACCCAGCTGGCCCCACCGCCATCAAGGGCGAGGGCATGATGACCATTTGCATATTAGCTCTTTATTACAGTGGGGCCTTGACTTATGAGTTTAATTCGTTCCGTGACGGAGCTCGTAACTCAAATTACTCGTATGTCAAATCACAAGTGAGACACGTGATGCTGGGCTGATGTGGCGTTCACTGTGACATTCGCTGTGCCACCTAGCGGTGGGGCATCTGAAGCTGGCTCGTAACCCGAATTTTAGCTCACAACTCAAAGCAAAAAATCAGCTGAGAGACGGCTCATATCTCGAAAAACTCATTAGTCGGGAAACTCGTAAGTCAAGGCCCCACTGTATATAGGATGGCATGGAGGACTTCTTAACTTAAAGAAAAGGACCTCCCAATCTTTTTTTTAAGCAGGAATTGAGGAATTTTATCTCAAGAGGAGGGATTAAATAATCATTTTATTAATAGGAAAGACAGTATGCAATTTAAAGATATACTTTACAGCCCAGGCCAGTGTGGCCTAGAGAAATATGAATCTTCTGACCCCATTACCCTTTTCACCCACTTCTCAAATCAGGCAACCACCAATCTGTTTTGTATATCCAAGAGCTCAGGAACTTTGTTTTTTTTCCCTCTTAGATGCCACATATAAGTGAGATCATACAGTATTTATCTTTGTCTACCTTATTTCACTTAGCATAATGCCCTCGCGGTCTATTCATATTGTTGCAAATGACAGGATTCGCTTTTTAATGGGTGAGTAATATTCCAGTGTGTTGTGTATGTGTGTGTAACACATTTTCTTTAGGTGTTCATCCATCAGTGAACACTAAGATTTTTCCATACCTTGATTATTGTAAATATGCTGTAATGAACATAGGTGCATATATCTTTTCAAGTTTTAGTGTTTTCAGATGAATATCCAGAATTGGAATTGTTGGATCATATGGTAGTTCTATGTTTTTTTTAAATCCTCACCAAGGATATGGGTTTTTTTGTTTGCTTGTTTTTGGGGTTTTTTAGAGAGAGGAAGGAGAGAGAGAGACATTGATTGGTTGCCTCCCGTATGAGCCCCTACAAGGGATCAAACCCACAACCTTTTTTGGTATATGGGACTACAACCACCTGAGACACCTGGTGAGGGCTGTTAGATCTATTTTTAATTTCTTGGGGAACCTCCATACTATTTTCCATAGTAGCTGCACTAATTTACATTCCCACCAATAGAGTACAAGAGTTCCCTTTTCTCCACATTTTTACCAATATCTGTTATTTTTTATAATAGTCATTCTAACAGGTGTGAGGTAATATTGTGGTTTTAATTTGCATTTCCATGATGATTGGTGATGTTGAATATCTTTTCCTGTACCTATTGACCATTTGCATATCTTCTTTGGAAAAATCTTGCTTTTCAGATCTTCCCCATTTTTTCAGTTGAATTTATTGGGTTGACATTAGTTCACAAAATCATACAGGTTTCAAGTATACAACTCAAAAAAACATCATCTGCACACTGCATCTTGCGTCCATTGCCCCAAGCAAAGCCTTTTTTCGTCCCCATCCCGCCTAACCACCCCCCGTCTTTGCCCACTTCCACCTATCCCTGAACCTGTCCTATCCCTTTGGCTATCACCACACTATTGTCTGTGTCTATGTGATACACACACACATACATATATACACACACACATATACATATATCTCAATACTTTCACCTTCTTTCATCCAGTCTCCCAATCTTCCTCCCTTCTGACAGCCATTAGTCTGTTTCATGTATCCACACTTCTGTTTCTATTTTGTTTACTAGTCTATTTAGTTCATTAGATTCCACATATAAATGAGATCATGTGGTATTTGTCTTTCTTTGGCTTATTTCGCTTAGCATGATACTCTCCAGGTTTATCCATGCTATTGCAAAAGGTAAGATTTCTTTCTTTTTAATGGCTGAGTAGTATTCCATTGTGTAAATGTACCACAGCTTTTTTATCCACTCATCCACTTGGACTGTTCAAATCTTGGCTATCTACACTAATAAAAGAGAAACATGTTACTTGGCGTACGACCGCTACCCTTTTCATTGGCTAATCAGCGAGATATGCAAATTAACTGTCAGCCAAGATGGCGGCCGGCAGCCAGGCAGCTTGAAACTAACATGAGGCTTGCTTGCTTCA